CTGACGTCTCAGACATTGGACCTTCGTATTTTTTGGGGTTTTTTGGTTACGATTAAGAACCAATGGTCAGAAATTCACAAAGGAATCTTTTCTAGTCATAAAATGTATCTTTCTTTTCATCGTCATAACATACTCAAAACATAATAAAGACTATTCAACTGTGAAAAATATAGCCAAAACAATCTTTGAAAAACAATGTTTGGGTGGTCTTGTTGTGGAACGTGCGTGCCCTTTAGAAATGTTAAGTGATTGGCTCCAGGGGGCAGGACTGACCCGTTACCAAGGACTACATCAAAAAAACACATTGCTATTTTGAATCATAAGATTTCATCGTTTAGTGGAAATATCCTTGATCTAATAGGTCTTTTTCAGGAAACGGTCACACGGTACTAATCTGGTATACTGGATGACAAAAAGAATGTAAACAACTTCAAAAGCAAAAGGAACGCAGCCCGTCAAGCTTGACTTTTCTTGTTGAGTGAACATCCCAGTGGGTATTTTGCCATCCAGTATGGCGGATTTAGTACCGTGTGACCGTTTCATGCAAAAAGGCCTATTACAACAATCGCTCTTTTTCGCTGTGTAAAAATAGTTCAATTATTGCCAATCGTCCTTCTTTAAGAAAAAAAATTTGTTTTTGTTTATGGAAATAGCATTCAGAGGGAAGAGAAGTAACAGATTTTGTGTCGCCAACAAAATTATTTTACCGGCTGCGTTTGTGAGCTGCGCGTGCCATTTCATTGGCCACTCACCGCTATACACACGAAGGTGCACAGCGGTGATATCCATCCAACATAAAATGGCTCGTGGCTATTAAGTACAGTGGCAAATACCACAAAAATAAAATGGCGGCCATGGCCTGCTTGTACGAGAGGAGGATAAAATTATCCATCTGTTAAACTTATCCACTCCTTAGATTTTGTATGGATTATATTCGCTGGATAAGGATCACGTACAAATGGCCACAGGTGTTTAAAACCTGTCTTCAAATGCTTGAACAAAAACTGCACTTCTCTGCTGTCAGTCGGAATTTTCGAAAGATTCTATCTGAAAGGTAGCCGTTCCTTTACATCGCAAAATGAGGGAGACAACCGTTGAGCGTGCAATGATAGATACCTGTGATTGGAGTGGTATTCATAAACCCGTGCAACAAAGTGTAATAATTAGAGTGTAATAGATCGTAATAGTCGCGTAGAGACAATAAAAAACAAAAGAGCCAAAGCGTAATAGCGATAAATACGCTAAAGTGTGTTTCACGGGTTAATGAAAACCACTATAATTGTCTGTAGGTGCTAAAGAAGGTTTCTATCATTGCACGCTCAACGGTTGTCTCGCTTCGATGCAAAGGCACGGCTACCTTTCAAGATGGCGTGAATGAAATATATAAATATCAGTTCGTAGTCCACGAGGCCGAGAGGTCTAATTGATTCAGTATTACCGCAAAAAAAAGAAAAAATGGATGAAATATATAATTAACAACATTGTTTTATTGCTAAAACTTCCGCTTACGCGTTCAGTTAAATTTGCATAAATTATCGCCGACTTCGCCATGACACGCTTGGCATGTTTGACAAGTGAAATTTAATTTACTACACGCTGGTGAAAGCTGGTTTGACTGAGCTAACTTAAAATGGTCCTTAACACATCGATTTGACCCATAATATTTCTAAAAGAAAATCAAAATTCTTGGCGCTTTTCACTAGTTGAGGACTATTGAAAATAGACCCCGAGTAACGTAGCCAATCAGAACGAAGGATTTGTAATAATCCACTAGTTAATACTAATATTTGGTATACTATTTGCATGTCCAAAATCATAGAACGTAGAATATAAGATCGAAATCGCAACGCAGCTTGAAGGTCCTTTCCTCTGCCCCCCCCCCCCCCCCCCCCCCCCCCCTCCCCCAAAAGGAAGGAAAAATGAATGGAAAAGTGAGCTGCCCAAAAATGCTCTCTGGAAAATAGGCTATGGTTTATTCATTAGCACCTTTTTTGATATTGAACTTCGGCCACAGTTTAAACTCTGAAACATTATTTAATTGGCCCGTAACCAGAGACTTTATAAATGCTCCCTTTGACGATTCTGCTGGACAATTGATGATTTCTGAGATGACGCAGGCGATTTTTAAAATATCTAAGGAAAACTGCGCTGTGTCCGATTATAATTTTGTCCCCCTCCCCACCCCCCGCACCTGCGCTATTTTTGTTTGAAAGCGCCGGCGAATCTAGAAAATCGTCAGTATATTTTAGTCAACGTGCAGCGGTATCATTTATCAAAACAAAGGATGATGGGAATTGTCAATCCTCGCTTTTTCTTCATTTTTTATGCTAAAATAGTTCTTGGAATCCCTTTTTTTGCCTAATTTTCTTTGCAAAAATACAAGAAGTTGTTCCGTTTCTAGATGCTATAAAAAGTGCGAGGACTACATCTCCCACCATGCTTTGGTTTTCAAAATGGCGTCGCTGCAATTGGCTATTAACGTTCCTTTCTATAAGAAGCCCCCTTGGACGACTTTGATATCAACCAACGTTCCCTGCTAGCAATAGTCTATCTGAGAACAGAATGATTAGTGGAGCCTAATTATACAATGATTCAGTCTATAAGTTAGTTAATTTAGGCTTCCTGTTTGCACTGAGTATTTCACAGTATTTCACAGTTGCTCGGCGTGTGCCCCTAAGTGTCACTAGTTAACTCTATAGTTTCTACTTTACTGACAGTGAAAAACGTTTTGTTTTCATTAAAAAAGCCGACAAGATAATCACCCATTTTAACCAGATTGACCCTAAGATTTCATTTGTTCCCGAAACCGCAGACATCCGGCATCGCAGGCAATAACAGATAACGCTAAACGTTTTCAATAATCACCCGTAAACGTTAGCTCGAAATTTTTACGTAACGCTTGATATTTGAAATGAGGAGCACGTTTTAATGGAAAATTTCAGATGGAAATTGTTTTCTTGCGTAAAAAATAACCTGTATCTTTAGGTTAAACGCTTTCACCCGTTAACATTAGCTCGGAAATTTTAAACTACGTTTTAAATAATGATAAAATGAAAAACATTGTTCTTGCGTTAAAAAATTCCTATATCTTTATCCACTTATCGATGAGATAGTCCACATCCGTCTTTACGTGAGCAAGGAATTTTCACGTAATGATTTAATTCCTAATGATGACTAACGCAAACAAGAGCTGCTTTTTTTACAACCGCCTGAGGACTGAATTTGTCTTCTTTTATGATCCGTGCTTACGAATGAGAGAGTCCACATCTGTTTTTACGTGAGCACAGAATCAGTTTCACGTAATGATTTAAGTCCCTTATGATAACTAACGCAAACAAGAGCAGTTTCATATACAAACTAAACTTGTCTTTTTAGTTCTTCACTGATCCATTGCTCTCAGCTACGTCCGTTTTACGTAAGCTCGACTGAAATTTTCACGTAACGAATTAACGTTTCTAACGATAATTCACGTAAACTATAATCGTAGTAAACTATGAGAAAAGACTGCTTTCTTTCACTCCAAAAGACTGAAAAATACGCGATCCGGTTTACATATTATAAGGTCGAAATTTTCACGTAACGTTTTCTATTTTCCGTCGATACTATATACGGAATATTCTAATTTATAGCAAAAATCTGTACTTAAATTACGTTTTGAATTAAGTGACAACGTCGATAGAAACTTAAAAAAAGGTAAAAAAAAAACAGAAATTATTATTTCGTTCTGTTTTATGAACAACAGAATTTATATTACCGTGAATTGACAGTGTCGAAAGAAACTAAGCATCGTAGTCAAGCAATTATGGCAGGTCATCACTTTGAAGTACTGTAAATTTTATGTAAATTTTAAACTCCATTGACAAGGAGGTTTGCATCTGTAGGTGATCTTGACACCGCCAATGCACTAATCGAATGTGAATTAACTTGGACTGTGTACTCTGGGTTTACAGAACAAGTCATCCGCCACAGCCTCCTTAACTATAACTTCTTTGCCAAAAGGAAAAGATTGCTCGGATACAGATAAGTCAGATAAAGCTACCGAGGTCAGCGAGTTGCTATGACAACATTTCGCGGTCATTTCTACAACTTTTGATGACTTTTTCCACTGTTTGTTATACTCGAAAAGAAAGTCACGCATTAAAGAGCATAATAAATTAGAAGAGTCTAGACCTAAAAGGAATCTTTGATCATAAGAAATTAATGATCAAAATAGAATGTTTAATCAGACTTTTATGTCAGGTTGTTTTTTTTTTTTTTGGCCTAGTTTAATCGCTAAACGTTTCTACCTGGGGAGAAAGCACTTCTTATTAAAAGTAAACAGTAAATAGAGCCTTTGATCAGCTCTCTGTCAGGATCCGTTGGTCTAGCCGGTGACAAATGTGAACTTCAATCTTTATGAAAATCGAAAGACATCAATTCTGATCGTTCGATTTCAAATTCAGCTCACGGACACCGAAAAGAACAAAAACAAAGATTGTCAAAGACATGTAAACATTAGTTCTTAATAGTAATACTGCTCAGGCATAACTTTGTTGACAACTGCACTTTGCTACGTAGATAATTTAGATAAACATGCTATTTTTGACCTCCGAGACGAAAGTGAATATAAATGTATATACATCGAAACTTATAGCACCTGGAAACAACGCAATAGTCAGTCGACATGAATATCTGAATAACATGCCCTAATCCTTCGGGTTAACTGCATTCTCTTTAAGAACTTTTCACTTATTGTTTAAGCATATTAGAAAAAATTAATTGAACAATTGTTGTATGTGTTTTAAGTATTCGTTTAAAGGCCCGGCTATCAGTACTTTGGCATTATAACTGAAGCGTCTGAATATGTGTCTCGCATCCGACGGAAAGCAACTATTAGATAAACAATAGAAAACAATACTAACGTATACTGGTCATTATTGCGAGCCACAGCTCGTTCGCTCTTTTATAACGCATGGATAAGCTAACTACCGAAGATCAATCGAGGTCTAAAGTGAACTTACCCTGATAACTCTTCACCATCATCGTTTGTAAGAGATATCTTGAGCGGCGACCCGCGGTGCCCCTTCCTCGTAGTCAGAGAGCTCATCTTTTTTAGCGCAGTGAGACTCTTGATAAAAGAAAACAGRCAAAGCAGATGTGATTCTAATGCGGTGATGGAATACAACTTAGCACTTCAGTAGTATAAGGCTTAAAGGGGTGTTAAATAATAGAAAAGTCCATAATGTTAGTAAAAATCGTGGAGCTTATAAACTGTGCACGTACAAGAACTTCTTACCGATTCCTCTTCGTGAATTATCTCGTCGAATTTTGTTCCTTCGGCGAACGTAACAAGACGCTTGCCTGTCTGCGGAGAGGACTTCAAGCTTGACTTTGCTTTAGTGGTTGTGCATTGGTGCTTGGTAGAAGATGACGACGAGATCTTTCTAAAAAATGCTCCAATCACCCCTATGATAATGATACAAAGAATTGAGACGAAATCTATAGTGTCTATCAGCCAGCTAGCACAGGTCACTACACGGGAATATATATCCATGTTGAAATCAGTTCTTTTAGTTTCTTTCTCGAACAGTGACGTCAATGTTCAGTCTCTTGTAATTGCTGTCAATCACACACAGTCCGTTGCACACAAGAGGTGTCAAAATAAATACTTTACCGATACAGAAACATGTAGAAAAACATACATGATTCAATTTCGTGGGAAATTTAAAACTATGACCTTTTTTGCCATCAAAATAACATTAATTTATTTCTTTATTTCTTTTTGTCATAATAACGCGTACAACAACATGAGAAAACGTAAATGGCTTTAAAGGGCTTCCTGTGCCGAGGGTATACGAGTGGCTTTTCTGAAGACTAGTAACTGGTGACAGATTTCGTGTGAAGACAAGAGACAAAGAAGAAATCGTAACACAGGGCTAATATAGTTCAAGAGGTCGCTACAAGCAACTTAAGTATCCGTGCAAGTATGCCTTTTGATTATCACTACTGGATAAAGTTACAAAGCTTACTTGAAGTGATTTGCAAAGCCCCTAAAAATGCAGCTTTTTTTTCAAGACTTAAATCGGTGTTGAGACAATTTTAGCCCACCCCAGTTTGGCTGTTATCTGTATTTTTTTCAGCACTAAAACAAGATATGGCCCAGGTGCAATTTTAAAAAGATCATCAAGAGATAGTCCGGTAAATGTATTAAACAATACACAATGCAAATGTGTTTCGAAAGTCTGTTTTGTCATCGTCTTGACCACATAATTTGAAAATCGAATATTTGTTGGTAGTTAAAGAGAAAAAAGAGCCGCCAAGTCAACTTGACATGTTTATACCAATTACACAATTCGACAGAAGGCTACTCGTTAGCGAGCTAGGTATAATTGAATATATTTGCGCTCTCGTACAATGACAGCTCAAGTGAATACATATGAAAACACGACAAGAAAATCAGAAGAATGGCTTATAGGAAGCCATTAGAATACCTATAACGTACATATATGTGTGTTTTTTTCCTTGCTGTTGTTCTATTTTTAGATAGAGCAATTACATCGCCGGTAGGGCAAAAAACAATCCACAATAGCATGTTTTCCTTTCTGGGAATATTTGACAGTAATATAGTAAAAAATGACTTGGTGAATTTGTATGGAGTTAAAATTAATATATATGTAGCACGAAAACACTAGCGAAGTAGAAAATGGCCATCTCTCGCGGCAGAATATACGCTCCAGACGGTCGAAATGTCACAAAGAAAAAGAAAAACAGCAAGCTTATCTATTATTCGGAACAAAACGTTCTTCACTAGAACACGATGGCCTAAGACTCAGCTAAAAATGTTCATTAATAAGACACATACTTGAACGGATATCTGTTAGGAATTGTCACATTTGCGCGCCTAACTAAGTCACCTTTTTTGCTGGATGATCTATCTTGGTCCATGATTTGAAGTTTCGAGGTGGATTTACAAGTTGTCCCTGACTTCTCTAGTAATCAAATGGGTCGCGTAGTCTTTGCACTAACGACGTCACGCTTTGGACCCGACGGCCAATCATAACCACTGCAGTTCCTCTGCCCCGGTGAGACGACAAAAAAATAGCATGGAGTCGAACTCATTCACTGTAGTCAACACGCCTCGAAGAAACTATCTTTAGCTACGAATCTCAAGGTCACGTCCCGTCTTCAGTGAATACATTTAGCGTTTAAATTCCAACCCGTAGTAAAACAACTTTGTAAATTGACATGATTTCATTAAGCGCGAAAAACATTATCCTATCCGTGACGGCTGTTATATAATAATGCACGGTTTTCTCCTATGTGGGTGGCTAGCAAGAAAATTATCCCCGCGCAGCGCGCACGCGTGCGTACTGCGGTATATGCTTAACACGAGCCGAAATCATCTTCAAATTAAGTTGGTTTGGTTCCGAGATCTGTAATTATATTCAATGTAGATGGTTAAGGCAATACCGAAACCAATTATTTCGCTGATTATTCAAATAAAAGAGGGGATTATTCACCAAGATAATCGAACTGTTTACGATAAGCTAGCGATTAAATGGCTTAAAAATAGAAATTAAGGCGGCGATGTAGCAAATAGAGCTCAATTTCAATATTGCATTTTTCGCAGCTCTTTCGTTTCCTATAAGTAAGAGTGATTGAAATCGATTATTAGTTGCCTTGGAAAAACAAGTCTAATCGTACGTAATTATTATTTTTTCTTTTTCTTTTTCTCTCGTTTGAACAAACAGTTGAAGTTTGTGGGTTTTTTTCACAACATTATTGGCCGAAAAATTCTAATACTGTTTTTTTTCTTCTAGGACATGAGCGAGAACTCTCAGCTAATATTAACTTCAAAGATTAAATTTTCTACACCAGAATGACACCAGCGACCTTTTTATTCGGCTTCAAAAGCAACTCGAATTGTGATTGGCAGTCCATTAAATATTTAATTTTGAACAAGACCTCATTCTTGGAAACCGAGCCACGTCGACGACACTTCAATAAAAATCTTCTCATCGCCAACAAAAGGACGAAACTCACAAAAATTCAAGTTGTGAAATCATGTGCGGTACCATCTTTATTATTTGAATTTTGATTCGCAGCAAATGAATTCCCAATTAAAGATAAAGAAACTTTAATTTTCAAGATGTTTAAGTGCGTCTAGAATTGTATTTCTATGATATAAGATTTATCTCTGTGACTGGAGTATGATATATTGGTATTGTAGTTGGCGCAAGAAAGAAAAAATCGCCTCGCTTCTCATATCATAGGCGTAAAAATTATTCTGTTATGTCAACAGCAGATGTTATGCGGATGGTGTACAATATGGAAGACTGTGCAGAAAATGACGGTAATTGTATGTGACAGTTTGAAAAAAAGAAGCATTTATAACAATAATTTTGATTATAGACTTTCTTAAATTGTCAAAATTTAATGAAAATAAGGAAAACGACATCGACAAATGATAACAATAAAAATAACTTTAACAATATGAATCAATAATGATGACAACATGAGCAACAACAACCAAAACAACAACAACAACAATAATAAAAAATGATCATGATGATGATAATATTAATAATTATAATATTCATAATCTTAATAATTACCTTTCAAATTATTTAAATTATACCATTTTCGACAATAAACTGAATACAACTATTTCAAAAACTACCCTTAAATTAAAAATAAAAATGTTTATAGAGATATATACAATTGAAAATCAGTCCAAAGTTCAAGTGAAATAGTATAGTGTATAATACTACTACGACTACGATTACGACTATGACAACAACTACTACTACTAATAATAAGATTATATTTAGTTTAGGATGTTATAATTTTTTAATGATAATGATGATGATGATAATAATAATAATAGTAATAATATTTTTTAATAATGATTCTAACAATATTAATAACAACAACAACAATAGTAATAATAATAATAATAATAACAATGATAATAGTGAATCAACTAACAACAGCAATAATAATAATATTAATAATAATCAATAATAATAATAACAACATGAATAACAACACCAGTTACACTAAGACAACATCATCAACACCAATAATATCAATGATAAGAACAATATAATAATATAGAATCAATAATAACAATATTGCAAAACGTTTTTAATGAAAAATAGTGAAAGCTATTTACGGTGTCTAATAATGTCTAATTTAAAACTGCGTAAAATTGATATTGACAAAACTTATTAAAACGAATAAATTGTTATAGGCAAGTCTGAAAATATTACATGTGACATAAGAAAAGTCAGTCACAAACGAAATATCTTTGGAATAAATGACAATAAATGTCTATAAATAAAGCGCCCTTGTTGCAAAATATATAAAAAAATATTGCACGGTAACGTCATATGGAGAAGTGCGAGGTGCCTCTCTTTGGAATAAATGACAGTAAATGTCTATAAAATAAAGCTACCTTGTTGTGAAATACATAAAAAATTATTGCACAGTGAGGTTATATGGAGAATTGAGTGGTAGCCAATCAAAAACGAGTATCATATATATGTCTTGAATAAATCATGATATCAAATAAAGGTAAAAACAATATAAACAAGGAAGTCAAGTATAAAGAAAAAATAAACAAAATAAAAAACAACAACGATGTTTTCATCTCATAGTCAAAACTAAGACCACAGTCCATTATGACATCTACTGTTTGAATTGTTTTGAAAGAAAACACTTCTGTTGCTATTGACCCAAAGGTCGGTGCTGACGTCACGGGCTAGAAACCCACAATACAAATAACATTACTTTTAAGCCTGGATTAACCTCGAATGAATCAGTAGTGCAAACACTTAATACTACGGGTATCAAATAGTGAGATACTTCTCCAAAGAGAAGTACTAATCATTTTTTTTTTTACCGAAGAAGACTAAAAAAACCTTTGAGTTTCAGTTAAATAAACGGATTTGGAGCTGCACAGACTCTCAATGGAGCTTACAGGGTATTTATCTTTGTCTAAACAGCGTCTAACCACATACTTTAGTATTTTCAGTGTCATTTTGTCTAAGGTTTACGGTAAAAAATGAAAGAAATAAATAAAAAAAAAAAGATGTCGGCCATTTTGGAGAGCATTAATTAATTATTTATTTACTTATTCATTTGTTTGTTTATCCATCTATTTATTTATTCATTTATTTATTTATTTATATTACACTTAAAACGTGTGCTTTCTAAACAGCTAGCATTAATTACTGCTTGCAAAGACCATATATTCGTTATAATCCTGGTGGTGCTCGATCACCGTCGTCCAATTTAAACAAACGTTTGGCTACTTAACGCAAAAACGAAAAGAATTTGCTATACACTAGGAATGACGTTCAAAACGATCAAAAACTCAAAAAGAATGAAAAACCTTCAAGTTTACATCATTTTCTGTCGTCATTAACATTTCTGAGGTCATTGTCGATCGCGCATATTAATCACACAGTCTTTCATCATGTGTACATTTTCAAGTAGCCATGGATCCAGTCTCGAGATAAGCTAGCGGTGACCTTGCAATGCTTCATTCTCTTTCTACCGCCCAGAATTCCAATCACTATGACGTCACTTCACGTAACACAAAAACGATGGGAATTGCCACATTGCATAATTACGTCACACCAAACCATTCGAGATAAGCGGTGACCTTGCAATGCTTCATTCTCATTCTACCGCCCAGAATTCCATATAGCATAATTATGTCACACCAAAGCATTCTATTAACGCTAAGGATTATGGTCGTTTGAGTGGGGCAAAATGAATGCATATTTAAAGAAAATATATATGAGCAATCACTTATACCACATGATATATATCAAAACTAAATGAAATTGAGATATTGACGACTTTCATAATGGCCGACACTAATTGGTATATTATCGTTAAAATTCACAATGTTGACAAACGAAAACACTCAGATGGCTGATATCAAAGTTAAGGATAAGTTCTGAAAGTTTAACAGGAAAATATTGAATTCTCTTGAAATCATAAGGGTTAGAAGAGACGCAAAAACACCAAAACAAGGCTTCCAAGGCCTCAGCAAAGAATTTCCTACAAATCCTTGTAATTTTATTCATTCAAAACTTCATTAGTAGTAAGTCCATGGCTTCAAAACTTTCCACAAATACCTATTTCCAATATTTATTCGATTATGAAAATGGTCTATAGTAATCGTTACAAATTTCCAGTGTTTCTGAGCAGTTATGCCCACTGTAATCATCCTGTGCCGTCATTATGTACCAGGGCAATTGGTACAAATCATTTTTTTTCTCTTGAAAAAAGAAAAAGAAAAAAAGCAGAAAAAAATTAACGAAAGTCTTCTTATAAACTGGAAAAAATCGCGCGCTTTAAAGGTTGTAAATTTGATGTAAATATAATGTAAGTGTCCAAAATTCTGTAAATTTAATGGAAATCATATTTACATCAAATTTACAACATTTAAAGCGCGCGATTTTTTCCAGTGATATGATATATGAATGACTGAACTGATTTTTTTTCATCACCCCTTTCCCCTCATTCCCATTTCTCCACCACCTCCCCCCTCCTTTAGGCATCGTTTACCACCTGCGCTATCAAAAAATTGATCTCTTAAAACAAGTCGGTTATATACCGTATGGCACAATAATTGATTAAGTCTTATCCCGGATTAATAATGGCCTGTATCGAACTAATCAAACTCGGATCACTTAGACATATCGTCGAGTTTTCAGTCCAGTTGGTTGGCTGTTTAATACGTTTTGATAACCGCAGATAAACACATTATATCACGTCGAGAGGACTTGTGAACCGCTAAGTGCATACAGTGACATTCGGCAATATATTAACGAAATATGAAACTGAGTGTTAATTGTAGAGTGATGCCACAAATGATTAAATGATGAATAGGATGGGAAAATAAATGAATGGTGGAAACTAGCGGTAAACTAGTGTGAGCTGCGTAGATGTTTCTAAAGAAACAGTTGTGTAAAAAGATAAATTTGAAACCGTGAAAAAATAGGTGAAACAACTTACTGACGTTTCGGACGTTAATCCTTCGTCGGAGTAAAGAAAAAACTATTATAGTATAGCATAGTTGTTTCGCCCATTTCTTTACGGTGTTAAGTTTATCTTTTTATACAAATGAATGGATGACTGAATAAATGAAATAAAGAGACGAAACAAAATGTACAATAAAGCCGCGACTAATTTATGGAATGATAAATGAAGGGATAAATTAATAAACGAATGAATTGGCATTGTGCAATCATTGCATATACTAATGACATCTGTGTGAATCCATGGATTCACCTATCACTACTAACACGTCGACCACCTTGAGCAATGAATAAATTATATGGATGCCCAGGGAGCAAAAGTACACATTTTTTTTTCTCTTATTGGCCAAAATGTACATTTATCAATTTCGTTCATCTAATAAATTTGAATTATAGTGCTCAATGTTTATTTAACGTTTTTTTTTCTAGATATCACAACGTGATGTGTGAACAATGTACACGTGTACACAGGTCCGATAGAATAGACATTTTTACTAAGACAGCCGCCATCTTGAATTTTGAAGAAATTACGGGATGTACAGGGGTCAAAAACACACATTTTCACATAGAATAGTGCAACAAATTTACTGAAAATTTCAGGCTTAAAAAAATTAATGCTTCAAAATATTCAAACGTGTTATGTTATTAATCTTTTTCAAGTTTAAGACATAATATTCTTAAAGCCAAATAATTATAAATTTCTTGCTTAGTGCCTTCGGACATCCCATAGTTTCTTATTAAACTAGACGCATAACTGCGTAAACTCGGGGTTCTTGTTGATAAAATAGTAGTGAATTTGGTAAGGCTCGTTTACACTTGCGTGTTTGCTATATATTTACTATATAATTCGCTTTTGATAAGATGGGTAGCTAGTTCGATAGACAATGATATGCAGTAATATAAATCACAATTCCGAAGTTGATATAGTTATGCAACTCAGAAGATCTGGGAATATTGAGAGAGATTCGATGATAAACGACCCATCTTATCTTTCTACTTTTGTTATGTAAGCGTCTTAGAAATCGTTTTGGTATCCTATTGGGCTCACGACTACGACTACAACGTACATGTCGATAATTATCGCCCCGTGTAAGAGAATCCGGAATCCGGAATCCAGTAAAAATACAGCTTTGGAATCCGGAATCCCTATCCTGGAATCCGGAATCCAACTTTTTGGAATCCAGAATCTGGATAGTTAGGAAGACTGCTTTTATCGGTGAAAATCTAGCTGTTGAGTTGAGAGATGGGAACGTAAATCCAACTGATCTTTACTGTACTTC